AATGTGGCCTCAGGGTGTGCCCACCACATACTAGGAAGGCCTTGAAAAGGCAAGAGCCTTTCTCTGGTTCTACACTGCGCCCTTGGCAGGCTCCTGCAGGAGGCGCTGCTTTGCCAGCGCCCGACTCCTACAGCCTCAGAGCCTGAGCGGCGTCTCCTGGGGCCGGGCTCCTGCAGCGCACAGTGGTCAGCAGCTCACACAGGCCAGCAACCTCCCGGCACAACTGTGCCCTCTCAAATGAATCCTTGGGTGTCTATGTCAGCCAGGGGGTATGGTGGGTTCCAGGATTCCAGGATTCCTTAGATTTCTCGTTGCTTCTTACCAACCCAAAGGCCTCACTTCTCCAATTCCGTTATAATAATTTTTCTATTAAAACTTCCTTGTTGAAATTCCTGTGTGATTTCTGTCTACAGATTACATTCTGACTGACTCATGGGCAATGCTCAGAATTTGCTAGTTACTGACATCTGAATGAGCTGGGATGTCTGGGAACTTTATACCTACAAATGCAAGGTTGGTGACTCACCTCTTTAATTTCTTTCAGAAGTTCAAGAGCACAGCTGAAGTCTGGGGGAGAAGCTGATAGCTGCTCTTTAAGATGATCCCAAAAGGCATCGTGCATGGTCTCCTTGGCCTTGCCTTCCAGACTGGAAGGGGTTAAACAGACAAATTATTTTCTCCATCCAAAAGCTGCCATAAGGTCATCATCTCCTAAGCCCCACACAGACAGTGTTTGATATGATAAAAGACCATTATACTGACAGGGAAAGGACAACAACTATGTGTGGATTGCAAGAGAGTTGAACACCTGGGTGAGACTTGGATGTGAAGGGCATGAGCCAACCTCTCAGAAGGGCTCCCGGTGTCCCAGAGCAGCCCTCCCTCCGCAGCAGGAAGGCCCTGATCAGAAGTCAGGTGGAGCTTTGGCACTGATGTTGCATCTGGCTTAGGTAATATGGGACCTGGTTTCTATTTATGTATACACACAGCAACGCACTACAGGATCTTCCATTGTCTTGTTCTAAAATTCAGGAAAGGATTCTCCCTCTTTGATTATACCGAGATACCCACAGGATTTCCAAATCTGCAGGTGTAAGCTGAATTCACTACCTTCCTCCTTCAAACCTGTTCCTCCTCTATCCCCAACCTGTGCACTACCATGTTGCCAGTCATGGAAGCAAGAAAGATAGGTCTTTTTCCCCCTAAAAAAGTAGAAGAGGCAAAGGCAGTTCAATTTAGAAAGGCCAGTCTTTTCAACAATGGTACTGGAACAGCTGGACATCCACATGTACAAGCATGAATCTAGACACAGACCTTCTACCTTCCACAAGTGGACCATAGATAGACCTAAACGTAAATGTAAAACTATAAAACTTCTAGAAGAGAGCTAGAAGAAAATCTAGGTGGCCTTGGGCTTTGCAATGACTTTTAGATACAACACCTAAAGCAAGATTCAAGAAAGAAAAAATTGGTAAGTTGCACTTCATTAAAATTAAAAATGTCTGCTCTGTGAGAGACACTGTTAAGGAAATTAAAAGACAAGCCACAGTCTTTGCTAAACAGATACAGTGGTACCTCAGTTTTCAAATGTGATCAATTCTGGAAGACCGAGTTCTGAAACATTCGAAAACCGAGGGATCAACAGCTGACAGCCAGGCCTCAGGATCTTGCCCTCAGTGGAAGCGTGTGGCATGTTTGACTTCCGAGGTGGGTTCGAAAACTGAAGCATTTCCTTCAGGGTTTACGGCATTGGTAAACCGAAATGATCATCCATGGAGACATTCGAAAACCGAGGTACCACTGTATCTGATAAAGGACTGTTTCCCAAAATATTCAAAGAACTCTCGCCTGGCCGGGCGTGGCTCAGCCCGGGATCCAGGCGATTGGGGTTCGATTCCCGGTCAGGGCACATGCCCGGGTTGTGGGCTCGATCAATGACTCTCTCATCATTGATATTTCTGTCTCTCTCTCTCTTCCTCTCCTTTCCTCTCTCTGAAATCAATAAAGATATATTAATATATATTAATATATATAAAGATATATATATATGTGTGTATATATATATATATATATATTTATATATATATATACATATATATATATTCAAAGAACTCTTAAAACTCAAGAATAAGAAAACAAACAGCCTAGTTTTAAAATGGGAGAAGATCTGAACAGACACCTCACCAAAGAAGACATACAGGTGGCAAATAAGCACATGAAAAGATGCTCAACAACATACGTCATTAGGGAAATACGAATTAAAATAAAGATGAGATACCAGTATACACCTATTAGAATGTCCAAAATCCAAAACACTGACACCACCAAACGCTGGGGCGGATGGGGAGCAGCGGGAATGCGCACTCACTGTTGGTGGGACTGCAACATGGTGCAGCCACTCTGGAAGACGGTTTGGCAGTTCCTTACAAAACTAAACATACTCTTGCCATATGATCCAGGCATCATGCTCCTTGGTATTTACTCAAGTGAGCTTAAAACTATGTCCACACAAAAACTTGCAAATAGAGGCTTGTAGAGCTTTATTTGTAATTGCCAAAACTTGGAAGCAACCAAGGTGTCATTCTGCAGGTGATGGATAAATGAAATGTTACTCAGTGCTGAAGAGGAGTGAGCTCTCAAGACCCCAAAAGACCCAGAGGGACCTTAAATGCGCATTGTTGAGTGAAAGAAGCCAATCTGAGAAGCCCACCTACTATATGAGTCCAAACATAGGACTTTCTGGAGCCTGCGGAGACAGTATAAAGACCACTGTTGCTAAGGATCTGGGGGGGAGGAAGGGAAGGGTGAATAGGTGGAGCTCTGGATTTTTAGGGCAGGGAAATTACTAAGTATGATACAGTAACGGTGGACACATGTCATTACACATTTTCAAAACCCATAGTCTATACAACACAATAAGTGAACCCCAACGTAAACTATGGCCTGAGTTAATAACGTGTTAATACTGGATTGTCCACTGTACCAAATGCAACAGGTGTAAATAATAGGGGAGTATGTGGGAACTCTCTGTAATTTCTGATCATTTTTCTATAGAACTAAAACTCCAAAAAGGTGTCTATTAATTTAAAAAAACAAATTACAGGAATCAAGTTTCCTCTGAATGTTTACTTAAATTATGTCTTTGTCCTATAGAGTCAGGCTAGTAAGAAAAACCTATTTGAAAATTCAGAGGCCGTATCTGATCATTTCCAAATAGGCCTTGGTTCTCTTGAATTAAACATCCACCCTTTAAAAAAAATACGGTAATAAAGCATGCTCCCTGTAAGAAGAGAAAAGCAAAGATGAACAAACACGTCAAAGTTCCTCTCCCTACACAAATCTCAGCCGTCAGAGGCAACCAACCATCACCTGGCTCACGGTCTGGTGCGCACTGGAATTGTGCGTAGCTCTTTCCTCATTTATTCAGTCCATCTCCAAGTTCCATAATTCTGCTTCTTAAGTGTCTCTGGAGTTCACCCCCTCCTACCATCATCTCTTACCTGGGCTGTCATAGTCTATTAACTGGCCCCTGCCTTCAGTCTCGTCTCTTTCCACTCTGCTCTCCAACAGTTCATTCTAAAACCAACGATTTCTGTAAGATGCAATTCCGATCATGGCGTCATGCGCACTTAAAGTCCTTTACGGGCTTCCCATCACCAGCAGCATAAATGGCTTATCCTGTATGACCCTTCCTGAGGCTGCTCTGCCTCCCTTTCCAATTTACCTCCTAACACCTTGTGTGCAACCATACCAAGCCCTTATAAAAGCACAGAGCACATTCTGCCACCACTCTGTGCCTCCGGCACGTTGTTCCCTTTGCCTGGAGCAGCCTTTCCCACCCGCAGCACCTGGAAAGCACATATTCACCCTCTAAGACTCAAGTCTTCGTAGGTAAAATCTCCCTCCAAGGGCAAACCTCTGATCCTCAAGCAGCTGACGACCCTCATTAAGCTCTAAACACACAACTCACCAGTCATTCTCTGTCATCTGACTGTCTCCCCTATGAAAGCTTCCCGACAGCAAAGCCAGTGCCTTGTTCACCTATAGNTGACTGTCTCCCCTATGAAAGCTTCCCGACAGCAAAGCCAGTGCCTTGTCCATCCATAACTGCAGCTCTAACTGTGCCCAGCCCCAGCACTCGGCATTCTGCCTGCCACACAGTAAGGACTCAACATGATGCCCAAACATGGGATTTCCTTTAGGATCCTACAACTGTCATCAACAGCATCATATGAGCCAAAGTAAAGCCAATTGCCAGTAATGAGTAACCTCAAACTCTTTCAATCTTTCTCCAGAGATAAATTGCATATTACCCTGCTTGAAATCCAGCTCTGAACAGCGCTGTTTCTCGGCCTCATTCTCCCTCCGGTTTCCTGCACCTGCTACCCGCCTGCTGCCTGACCATCACCCCTTCAGCTGACCTCCACTCCCCCCGGTCCTTGTTCCTCCTCTCCTGCCAGCAACAAACACATCTAAGCGGAGAGAGAGAGGTGCTTGATCTGGATGTGGGTGAAAACCTGTCCCAGAGGAGCTGTGCTTAGCATGGACACCTGGGGGCACCAGGCAGGGGCAAATCAAAGCATCAAGACCAGGGCAGCAACTTGGGACAGAGAAGGACACTTCAGTAACAGATTCCCAAAGCCACAAAATACCAGAAGCATTTAAGGAAGCCAACCAACCACTGCCATTATTTACCTAGCTATTGGTGGGAAATAGAACTGTTTGAAAATATAAAATCTGACAGTGAATTTACCCACTCAACTGTCAACAAGCAGCAGAGCCATTCAATTCACACTTACTGAACGGTTCTTATTTATTGCAATGTCAATAGAACCAAGAAGAACCAAAATAAAGCTTGATGGGGGTGGGGGAGTATTATTTATCAACAGGGGTATGATCCTGATTCATAAATGAAGCTGATTATGAGGCCAGAATAAAAGAGTTGAAAACGCCACTATTAGAAAATTAATCTTTTTATCTGTGCCTTTCAATCTGTGATCACGCAAACAAGTAACTGATAGCAGCTCTGTGTAGGCAGCTGATAAAATGACCCCAAAGATCTCCGTGTCCTGGTGTTCACGCCTCGGTGTAGTCCCTCTCCCTGGAGTGTGGGCTGGGTTTAGTGACTCCCTTCTAGGGAAGGGAGAATGCAGCAGAGCAGACTGGTTTGTCCTGGGCAGCAGCTCCCCGCACGCTCATTCTTAGTGAAGGAAGCCAGCTGCCCTGTGGGGAGGTCCACGGGCAAGGGCCTGAGGGAGGCTCCAGCCAACAGTCAACAGAGTGACTGGAACCTCGTGAAAGACCTTGAGCCAAAGGCACAGTTAAACCAGGCCCACATTCCCGACCCACAGCAACTGTGAGATAATGAACACTGCTTTAGCTACTAAGTTTTGTGGAAATTTATTACGCGGCAATAGAGCTATTCAGGCTACTTCCTCCATATCTGTCAGAGAAGATCTGAAATTCACCTGTTTATATTTTATTATTAACTTTGGTCCCAAGGTGAACATTCCAACTATAATTGCTTTGGTTTACTCATTGGTTACATGAAATTTGTTTCTTGACCCTCTGATACTAACAGTTATAACTGATCACTCTTCTAACTGTTGAGACCTCTTAAGGCTGATATTCTAACACCGTATTATTAAATAAAAATGCTTCCAGTCTGGTCGGAAGCCATAAGTGCTAAATGCCTACGCCAGGATTAGTAAGATGGGAAATCACAAGCGCCTGTACCTGTGTGGAGGCAAAACCTCCTCTTCCCCGTGGACATCATGATTCTTCCCGATCTCGCTGCTCAGTTCGGAAACGTCGGCAACTGAATCTATCGGACCTGTGACGGACAGAACTCATGGTGGACAACGGTGCACCCACACGTCTGAATTTCCAGTTTATGCACCGACTCACTGTACTGAGTAGGCCCCAAATTTGGATTCGAACTCATCTTATACAGCTCATTCCACCATTCTCGTCGTTTGTTTTCTGAGCCCCAGGGCCCAGGGACCCCTCCTCTAGGAGTCGTCCAGTCCAGCACGGGGGTAACAAAAAAAGTGACTTTATGAAAAACAGAAAGTGAAACTTGACTAAAACCTTTCTCTTACATAGTAAAGTAATAATTAAGTGGCAAAGAAACAATTTATTTACAAAACTAAACCTTTATTATGATAAACATCATTCCACACTTCTCTTCCTGCCTCTGACCAAGTTAATTCTCCACATGGATGGAACTGAATGGCGCCCATGTCGGCTGGTCTTCTAAAGCAGCAGCGCCCACATTTTAGGATTTCACAGACTAATAAAATTTCCAAAAAGACTTTGACAACAACTTGCCAGCTTTTTGTTTAGCCACCTAAGCACAGTGAGACAAGCAAATACACAAGTAAAAACTCCACTCTGCCACCCCCCAAACCATCACGTCATCAACAAAAGGACAGCGCAGCCTCCGAAAGAGCAGAAAGGGAATAAAGAGTAGTCCTCTAACTTTAGGAAATCTAGCTTTAGGAAAAACTCATTACAGTATCGTTATTTCATTGTACTAAATATTGCTAAGAATTCTGTCCCAAACCAGCACTAGCGTTTGGGAACCACTGTTCTGAGTTCGTAGAAAGACCCAGCTGACAGCATTCTCATGTAACATGGTGGTTACACCAATTACCTGGCATCTAAAACAAAGTTGCACACAATAACTCATTTTTCTCACTCTTTCAATGAAGCTTCATCATTTGTTCACAGAAAAGTATATGGGAGAAAAACAAGCTGGCGGCGCAGGTCACAGCTGCGCCCGCCGCCTCCCGCCACCTCATCAAAATCACAACTAAACACAGAGCCACCCTCACTCAGAGCCTCCTGAGATCTGGCTGCACAGTAGCCCCACAGCCAGGGACCTGAAGCAGCACCGAGACCGTAGGAGGGGCGGAGACGCAAGCGGGTCGGGGCTGAATCATGGAGACTCGGCCTCGGGCCCACACCCGGTGCCGCGGGTAAACCCTGGAGGGAATCTCGGCAGCAGAGGTTTTCCGGAGGAGGGAGGGGCCCAGCCCCACAGCAGGCCCCCAGCCCAGGCTCCAGGGCCAGGAAGAGGAGTCCCCACAACTCCGGGCTGTGAAACCAGAGGGGACTGTGGCTGAGGGTCCGGAGGCTGCGGGAGCCCCAGCAGCTCCTCTAAAGGGCCCGGCGCGGACTCACTCGGACGCTCCCTCTG